CTCTTGTTACCCAGGCTGGAGTGCAATGGCGCAATCTCGGCTCACCGCAACCTCCGCCTCCTGGGCTCAGGCAATTCTCCTGCCTCAGCCTCCTGAGTAGCTGGGATTACAGGCACGCGCCACCATGCCCAGCTAATTTTTTGTATTTTTAGTAGAGACGGAGTTTCACCATGTCGACCAGGATGGTCTCGATCTCTTGACCTCGTGATCCACCCGCCTCGGCCTCCCAAAGTGCTGGGATTACAGGCTTGAGCCACCGCGCCCAGCCTGTAAAAGCTTTTTCTTTCATTTTTTTTGAGATGGAGTCTTGCTCTGTCGCCAGGCTGCAGTGCAGTGGCACAATCTCGGCTCACTGCAACCTCTGCCTCCTGGTTTCAAGTGATTCTTCCGCCTCAGCCTCCTGAGTAGCTGGGTCTACAGGCACGTGGCACCATGCCTGGCTATTTTTTATATTTTTAGTAGAGATGGGGTTTCACCATGTTGGCCAGGATGGTCTCGTTCTCTTGACCTCGTGATCTGCCCACCTCGGCCTCCCAAAGTGCTGGGATTATAGGCGTGAGCCACCGCGCCTGGCCTAAAAGCTTTTTATTTCTATGAAACAACTTTGATTCTAATACCAAATAGTTACATCTTGAATGTGCTGTGTTAGCTTTATTTGTAAAATGACAGATGTCATTTTTCAATTGGAGATTATGGATTCCAAATCTTCTGTGGGGTTACTTAAGAGATTCTATACCCATTTTATTATAATTGCAATTTTAAGATGCATTTCATTTATTTAAAAATATTTCTATTTTTCTTTATTAAATTTTTTTTTCTGGGAAGTTCACACTGAAAAAAATACATTTTTAAAATAACATGTACACTCTAATTACCTGCCATTTGGACATCCCAGAATAAAGTTTCTCCACCATCTCTGTGTATACATTTGTACTATTTATAAATGTACACTTGATTAAAAACATGAAGATCATTTCTTCTGATCTAGTCTTTTTTTTTTTAATTGGAAGTACATACTCTATGGAGAAGAAACTATAGAACACAGGTCCTGTGCCTAATAATAATAGTGATGATTCAGGTAAAGCTCGGTTGTATGAGCTCAGGTGTTAACTGAACATAATAGTTAAGTGGGCAACTCATCTCTATGTAGTAATAATATAATACTGGTTTAGTGTGTACCAGAAGTTTTTATTCTTTTATCTCACTTTTCTATTTGTGTTTACATATTATGAAGAATGTACATAGTTTTAAATAATGAAGGCATTCGGCTTTGAAACAAATATTTCTGCTATTGTTTCAGGCTTTTGTCTCAGTTTATATGAATAATCTCTTGAAATTATTAGGCAAACAGTGAGGCTGTTATTATTTGTTTCTATTTATTTGTATGAATTGGTTTTTAAAAATTGATTCTCTGTAATAAAACACAGCATAGAAATAAACCAGATGCTGGCTGGGCACGGTGGCTCACACCTATAATTTTAGTACTCTGGGAGGCCGAGGCTGGTGGATCACCTAAGATCAGGAGTTTGAGACTAGCCTGGTCAACATGGTGAAACCTCCTCTCTACTAAGAATATAAAAATTAGCCAGGTGTGGTGGCAGGCACCTGTAGTCCCAGCTAATCAGGAGGCTGATGCACGAGAATCGCTTAAACCCAGGAGGCAGAGGTTGCAGTGAGCTGAGATCACACCACTGCATTCCAGCCTGGGCAACAAGAGTGAGACTCTGTCTCAAAAAATAAAAAAATAAAAGAAATAAACCAGATGCTGAGGTTGATATAATTAATCTCCTAATTTTTGTACAAATTACCTGGTTTTGCATTTGGCTTTAAAATAAGTAACATAAATTTGAACATAGAAAACTGGCTTACTCTAGACATCACTTTTATATATTGCATATGTAGAGTTCCATTACAATTCATTTGAAAAAGTGTTACGTCAGAGTTGAAAATCACTGAACTTAGTCTCTGAGCTTCCTTTCAGCACTGCAGCTCTAAGACAGTGTGTTCTAGTACATCCTTATTATGCTTGTATAGATTATTTATTTCTCCCACTGTTAAAGTTGGTAACATATTCTGTTTTGCTCTTAGAGATGGAAGGAACCTTAAGCATTAACCAGTCCAACCTCCTTCTTAGTGTCTTAGTCCTACTCTCATCAGAGGTCCTTCTTTTTTGCCTGAAGATCTCTGATTGTAGAACATACAACTTATGGACTGTTCGTTATCTTGGGAACTGAGGAGTTCTTTTTTAAGCTGATAATTGCCTATTGTAACTTATAACCCTTAGTCCAAATTCTGCTTAGCAAAGACCAACTATACTTAGACTTCTAGGTATTAGAATACCTTATATTTGAAAGTTATTTTCTCTAGGCTAAACATCTCTCTTTCCATTACCATATCTGATTTCTCAACTTCTATTATAATATTTCCTTTAGCAGTTAAATTTATTGTTTGTGCCTTGAAAATGTGGTGGCCACATGTGTGCATAGGGAGGTGAAGGGAATGCAGCAGAACATGGCTAAGAAATCACTTATAGTGATTGATGAGATATGATTACATAAACCACGCTTATATCAGTCAGTCACTATAAGTGTGGATGTAGCTTTTACAACCATGTCATTATCCCTTCAACAGATACAGGAAGAAGACACAGACAGTTTGTATTAAAGCCATGTAATACCTACAAAACAGGGCTTAAAAGTCAGTATTTAGAATTTTAAATAGTTTTCAATATCCCCCACCCACACTTAAATTACATATATTATCTCATCATTATGAAAACTTCCTACTGACTTAGTTTGAATCTGCATTTTTTTTCTCTCTGAGACTGATGTTTCCCCCATCTTCTTCCCTTCCTCCCCAGTCTATCTTCCAACTGTAACCAGAGTAATCTTTCAAAAAAACAGAGCTGTATGTGTTACTCTCCGCTTAAAATCCATCTATACTTCCTTTCTGCTTTTAGAAGAAAGCTCAAACTCTTCAGCATGACATAAAAGAGTTTTCATTTCCATCCATCCATCCATCCATCCATCCATCCTACTAGAAATTACTCCTTTTGAAATATAAAAGGGGCTGGATATGGTGGGTTACACCTGTAATCCCAGCACTTTGGGAAGCCAAGACAGGTGGATCACCTGAGGGTCAAGAGTTTGAGACCAGCCTGGCCAACATGGTGAAATCCCATCTCTACTAAAAATACAAAAATTAGCTAGATGTGGTGGCAGGTGCCTGTAATCCCAGCTACTCAGAAGGCTGAGGCAGGAGAATTGCTTGAACCTGGAAGGTGGAGGTTGCAGTGAGCTGAGATCGTGCCACTGCACTCTAGCCTGGGCAACAGAG